AGGGAGTTTATTTAAGCAGTTTTTTTTTGTTGACCAGGGGCAGTTTGGTCATTTAATGAATTGACATAGCAATGTAAATTTCTTTGGTATATATATTTTATTATCAAGTTGTGCAGAGTGACCTGATCTACAACCATTTGTATAATTTAATTAATTAATCACACACTATAATACGTATTTAGTTAGTTTAAAGAAGCAACGTGCAGGAGAATTTGCTGCGGCGACGCTTGCTCTTCCTCAATGTCCACGCCTATAGGAAAAATGTCTTCCCCAAATAAGTTTTTTTTTAAAAAAAAATAATTAAAAAAAAACATTCCCTAGTAAAAAAGTAAATAAAAATATTTACATTCTATGTCCAACAAATATCAATATTTTACAATAATTATCACGTATATGATGTTGTTCTGTTGAAAAGTTATTATTTCGAGATTAATTATTCCGTAATAAGTTATTCCATTATACATATGAAAAAATAACTTATTGCATTAACTATTACAGAAATGATTGGACAAAAAATTCAAGAATTACGTACCTAATATCTCCGGTAAATCATGAGATAAAATAATGAAAAAAATTTCTAAACAGACAACTTATTTTACCATATTCTTTAAAGGTTTCCTATTATTTGAAAGAAATTATAAAAATTCATATTCTTGAATACATCACTTTACACAATGTATTTGAATCCAGGATGCGATGTATAGGGATGTATACATATTCTGCAAAGAGTTGAAATAAAATGTAATTAATTTTTAACATATAATAATCTTATATTTTATTCTATAATTATTATTCCTTTTATGAACCTCACACCAAACAACTCTAATTATTATTTATGAATAGTTTAGTAAGTTGTATTATAAAAAATAATAATACATTATATTATTTTCTATATAAAAACATTATACCAACGAAATATAGAGAATAAATAGAACAATATTACTCATCATGTAACGAGTGACTCAACATGAAACTACAAAGACTTGATGGGGACTTGTTAATTAATTATTGAATTAAATAAATTAATTAATTCCATGCTAAATTGACTGGATAGAAAGCCTTCACCATTGACTAATTATTCCTTAACCAAGCCAAGAAATGTTAATTAATTAATTAGTACAATTTACTAATCACTTATCCATAATTAATCAAGGAAGAGGTCGACAACAAGCGTGGGATGTTACTTGCAAAAATGGAGAAAAACACTTTCTAAAATACGTGATACAATTACTTTTCTCTGTCCACTTTATTTATCTAAATAAAAAAATTAAGAAATAATTTATTATTTTATACTTATTTCTTCATTATTATTATATATTATTTATTTTAATATTTAAATAATTTAAAATTAACTAAATTATAAAAATAAATATGAACAAATAAAGATGATGCAAAAGTAATAATTATTAATTTTGAATTAAGTATAGCCTATATAGGGTTGTAAGAAACCTGATTCATTTCTCATGTCAACGGGCCAGTCCTTTTTCCTTTTTTTGGGCTTAAATTATAATATAAAATAAAATAACTAAAAATATAAACTAATTGAGATGCGTTGAGCTGCTCGAATAAATTTTTTTCTCCATTTTATTCGATCGAGAAAACAAAAAAATGTATTATATAATTATTATATACTGCTCCCTTAACCTTTGGCATTACAGATCCCAATTCTAAAATTAATTAATTAAATAATTCGCTTGACAATGGTCTTTTTAACCATGCCGTTTTGCCTATTTACATTTGACACCTTAAAGAAACTTGTCTCCTATCACTATACCACCATTTTTATTTTTATTTTTTTTAAAGACAAAAACAAATTGATGATCATGATCAGGGGTGTCAAATATGTAGATTGAAATTAAATTTAAGTATATTTAAATTAATTGAGTTGATAAATAGATTAGATTATTGACCCTTTAAAAATTACTTGATTATTGTTATTGGCTTGATCCTAGTTAAGACTCTTAAAATTTGTTTTGACTATTTAATCAAATTGAAAAAGATATAGTAGTAGAATATAAGATTATACATAATGTATAATCGTGTATATTTGAGAGAATACTTTTGAATAATCATCTCAAATATAATATATATGTAGTCGTGTTAGTCATAATATATATATTGGACCCTAAACTTAACTTCAAATTTTAATTTTGACCTCCAACTTTCATAATGCACAAACAGACACTTTAACTATCCAACTTTTAAATAAATAAACACACGAGTCCTACATGACAAAATACACGTAGGACACCACGTAGAACAAAAAATGACATGTAGGATAAATGTAGGACATGTGTGTCTATTTGTTCAACTTTATACAAGTTTAAGTGTCGACATGTGCACACCCAAAGTTGAAGGACATAAATGTGATTTAAAACCAAGTTAAAGGATATATTTATGCATTATGCCTAATATATATCTGAGATAACTTTAAGATTAATAGTAATTCAATAGGTTACAATTTTTTATTTTTAAAACTATACTAGAGGATACTTTGAATTTCTAAGTTTGTACATCTAATATTCTTCTTTTTTATGCATGCATCATCAAATTCCCCTCTTCCAATCCATTTCTCTCTTTTACCAGTTTACCTCCCTTCTTCAAATTTTCTTATTCAAATATAGTGGCGTATTATTATTTTATGTTTTTATCTATCATAAGATTGTTTAATTGAAGACGCATTTGAAGACCATGATATAAAATTATAGAAGAAGTAAAAAATGGAATATTTCGTTGGCCGTTAAAATACTTGTCACAATTATTTATTTAAGAGTTAAATAATATGAAATAATTTAAGATCTATTTTTTCATTATTTTAATATGAAAAAAATTATTATTCTCATAAAGTAATTATTTTTCGTAAAATAAAACACGACTATTTTAATCTGAAATGATAGAGAGAGGAAAGAGAGGTCTTCCAAGTTGACAATTTCAAGATCCGATCCCAAGGCTTGATGGGATTTCGTACATGTCTCACATTCCTTAAGAAGATGATGTTTGTGCTAACATTATTTTTTTTAAAATAAAATTATTATTTGATGGTGAGCTTTAAAATCAAATGATAAAATAGTTATGGGTTTGAGTTATAAATATTAATTAATGTTTG